TGTTAGTGTGTGGGTCTTGTTTCTCTTCGGCTCAGTTGACCTTATGGACTGTGGCTTTCAGCTATGTGAGATTATAAATGGTACGTAATCATGAGATTACAAATGGTGCTTTCTCCAGATGAGGCCAGGCTATAAGGTAGGTGGGACTAATGTTGGGGAGAGCTGGTGCCATCCCAGGACTTGCCTGAATAGAGAAAATTCAAGTCATTATGGGGGAAAAAACCTGAGGCGTGGGCAGGCTGACAGTTGAGTGTGGCTTTGTAAGGTGCCATGTGATTCCAACCTGCGAATGAGCTTTTCTCAAAATAGATTCAAATTTCCTTGGCCATCTCACAAGCCTGGAAGCAGCCAAAACCCCGGTGTAATAAGTGGTGCTGGACCATGGCTATATGCACAACTGATTGAGGGACAGTATTTTTTACTAGGGTTGCACAATGCTTCCCATCTGGGATATCTGCTTTTCTGTGGTTTATAACTCTGCCTCAGATTTAACCAGTTGATCCGGGCAGGTGAGGAAAGGAGTCCAGATGCTGTAGACAGCATGTAGAGGGAAACTTGTTTGTTCTGCAGTGTTAGAAGTGATTGAAGGCTCCTTGCAGTATTTTGGCTGCTCTGTCAGGGGCACTTGCAATGTGTGCTTTGTGTCTACACTCTGCCTTCTGACTGCATGACAAGCATTTGAGAAAAATGTTAATTTGCACATCAAGGATTGTCTTTCAGTTTATCCTAAATATTGCCATCCTCGGGCATGTCTTTGCTGCTTGGAGCTCCTACGCTCAGTGTGCTCCAACACATGGACTAGGGTTGATATCAGAATGAAGCGGAGGGAGCCGAGCCGTGTGCTGGTTTCCAGTAACTCTTGGGAGGCTTTTGAAGTTCATGGAGAGGTTTTAAGTATATAAAGACAGGAAGAGCTGTATGTGTGGGGAGGGTGCTGGCTGCCTATTATGGACTATGGGAGTGGAGCCTGGGGAGGGGAAGTAAGAAAAGCTAGGTCTGCAAAGAACAGAGCTTGTTAAATAACAAGAGCTGGAAGGAAACCACGGCTGGAAAGATGAGAAGGACTTGGGGTGGTTGGAAGTGGAGTTGGAAGTTTTAAGACTGACTGGATGAAATGAAAATGTTGAGTGGAGGAGAGTGGGCTGTGTGAAGGAGGCGGGAGTGGGATGCAGCTCTGGATTGAGGGGAATAAAGAGCAAAGGGCTGTGATGGCTGGAGGGTGCTTGCCAACGCTCTTTCCCCAAGCAGGAGTTGGTTAGAACTTGGTGAGTTCACCCCTCACCTATACATACTCTCAGTACTTGTTATACTACTTGCCGGTACTGTTGATACTGATTTGATCATTGCAAAATCCATTTCTCCTTTTTCCCCCTTTTTGTCGTCTTCCCAAGACTTGAGTCTAATTGAGCAAGATGATCCCTGGCTCTAGGAGTGAACCATAGTTCTGTAGTACAGGAGGATTTAGGCAATGTCTGTTTTACTTTAAAACCTAGAAGGTGTGTGTTCAACAAACCGTCTGTTTGCAAGAAAAGGATAAATCTTCTTGTTGCTAAAGCGGAGGAACGTCTTAGAAAAGTAATTTCTGGTTGTGCCACTACTATCTTCTCTTCCCATCATGAAGAACAGTTACAGAGACGACACCAGAGTACTCTAATGCTGCCAAACCTAATGTTTGTAAGACTTATGGTTGCATAATACAAGTCATTCCTGCTGCTGAGAAGCAGTGTGAATATCTGTTGTGCTGCACTGAAATCCATGTATTTTGCAGTCCCTGCAACCCTATAGGGAACTGCAGAAATTGGTGCAGAGTGGCATGAGCTGGCAAAAGGCAGGTCTTGGCTGGCACAGTCAGTATTTCTGTCCTGGATTGAAAAATGAACCCACTAAGGTCCGAGAGAGCAGCATGGGTATTTGGACGGTCAGATGCTTCCGCTGAACAAAGTGCAGATGGGGATTTAATATCCAAGCATTCCAACGCTTTCTGAAACATCTTCTGGGTCACACAGCACCGCCAATAGAGAAAGGACCGCAAAGTTCTCGGACCAACTTAGCAGCTTGTGATACGGTAAGTTTACAGATCTGTCTGCTCCTTTGTTTTTATTTTGGGGATGCGTCTGCGTGGCCGAGGCTCTTCTGAGATGGTCTTTGAGGGCAGCAATGGAAAAGGAAGAAGGTTGGCAGGATGCTGCCTAGCATTGCCGTTGTGCAGTGACAATAGGGTCTCGTTTACCTTTTACTTCCAGAGCCTCATGTCTGCTACTGTTTACCTGCAGAGCGTGCTTATTTATCCAGCAACCCCCTTTCCTATTGCGAGGGGATCAGACTGCCATATCTACCTCTTGCTTAATTGGCTGGAAGCCATTTATGCAGCTGATAAAGCGGTATCTCTGTATGACTTATTTGCAGGCAAGTCATTTGTTACTTAAATTATTGTTTCACCTTGAGGCCCCTGTTGTAGCTCAGGACTGCATATGATATTGAATTAGCCTTGACTGAACATGCAATTCCTTCCCAAAATGCAGGTGAAAAGGCTGATAATGTCACTCTTCTGGACATACACTGTGGGATGTCTCCTAAGTCTCTTTACTGCAAGCATTGCAATCAGTATACTGCAGCGTGGCTGACTGCCAGCTCCTGATCTAACCATCACTTTTGTGTAGCTCACTGCTAATGTTCTCCAGCAGATTTCTTCTCCTGGAAACTAAGCCTCCCCTCTTAATTTTTGCCAACGAGATCAGGATTTCATAGGATCCGGTTTTGAGCACAGACAATTGGGCTGAGTGTAAATAGTTCCCTGCACACGTGCATGGGAACTCTTACCATGTGGTGGACAAGTGCAGAGAAGATAGAGCTGAGTTAATGTGTTCAGGCAAATGCACTCTGGGATGAAGAGCAGATGTAAGACACTTAATATGTACTGTAGTTGAAATTGAAAATGTGCTTGTAAAATGCCTATAAAATTGACTCTCTACTTGTTAATGGCTCTGTTCTTTGCCCAAGTCCAGTAGGATCTCAGCTGTTGAAGAAGTTATATCCATGCAATTGCTTTGAAAGTCCAGGAAGTTCATTCACCATCCTGTCTCCCTTCATCAATCTCTTCCAAGATCATCCCAGTGCCAATTACTACCTTATGGATGTTGTTACCAGAATCTTGCTGTGATTGGCAAATATTCAAAGTGTTCTACTGCCATAAGCAGATACTTACTTTGATGAAGGATTTCTGATGGCAAACATACATGTCCTGTTTGAGTTCTGTATGTGTCGAGATGATTTCTTCAAGTTCAGGGAAGGAGTTTAAAGACCATGATAGAGAATTCTCCTTTCTTTAACAACTGAGTATCAGGGTGGCTGTCATTCTGCCAAGAGCTCCCAGAAGAATGATGGTGTCTTCAAAGAACAGGAATTTCATGGAAGAAGTTTGTCCTCATTGCAACTTCCCCACCCCTGGGGCAAAATGGCTCACTTTACATTTTTTCCTCTTCTGGCCAAAGATCTGTGAAAATGAGAACTGAACTAGTTGCTGAGTGAGCTATGGCCTGTCCCGTTTGTTTTGGGGTGCTTTGAGCAATGTTTGAAGGCAGCATGGGAAAAGCTGAGTTAGCTCAGAGTGTCTTGGTTAGTGCCAGCTAGCTACATTCTCTCAATGGGAATGCAGAGGAAGGTAGAGAAAGATGAGTTATGGGTGAAATGAATATTCTGGTTTGCATCTCTCTTCAGTTAAGACACCATGTGATAGGGGGGACTGAAGCAGGAGTAGTTCCTGAAGGACACAGGAGTGTTCTTGAGGTGTGCTCCACTGTCAGGAAATCCTAGCAAACAGCATCCTTGAGGATGTTAACTTATAACAAATGCAATAAAAAAACAAATGACAAGAAGTCTAGGGACTAAGTTCCACTATCCTGAAAGTGACAGGGCTCTGTTCCCTTCCTATTTTTAGAGCAGAATGCTTTCACTTGGAGGAGGGGGGGCTGCAACCAGTCAAAGAATGCATGCAAGACACATGAACCGTTCCTGTTGCTAAAGAGGATGCTTTTTTTTTTGAAGCTGGCAAGCTGGCTGTTAAAGACAGACCAATAACAAGGTTTGGTTCCAATTTCTCTGGCTGCTGGAGGTATCTGTGAACTTTGCATTTCTCTGATAAACTCTAGAAATTGTAGTGGACTATTAACCAAGTCCTGTACTGTTCAAAGTAGTTTCATAGGGTAGGAGGTTAATACTAAGCCAGCAACACGTGGTATACCTTGTATGTAGAGGGAAAGGAACTACCGTGCTTTGGTGGAAAAACCGTCTTCTGTCAAAGAACTGTCAAAAACACAAATCTGAGAGGATGAATCTGTTCTCTGCGAACTAGAAAAGTGCCCTGAGCAAGTTGGTCAGTGCAAGGTAGGACAATGAGCAATATTTCAGCCCAAGGGCAGATACGCAATTTGTGGCTGCAAGAGAGTTAATACGGTTCGGTTTTATCGCTGTGGCCCATGGCAAACACCCTCTCTGTTGCCAAGGCAGCTCCCATGGAATGCTCCATTTTCCCTGGAATGCAGCAGCCTCTCCAGCTGCACGTCCCCAGTAGCCCATGAGCTGCAGGCTGAAGGAGCAGCAGCTCTATTGCTGTAGACTCATCTTGTCGATGTACATATAGCTGGGGGGAAAACAGCTTATTTAGCAGCTTTTGCGATAAGTCTGCCCCTTCTAGTTGGACAGATGAGCCTGTTTCCCCTGTAGCTAGGCAGCACCTCTGTCTGGAGTCAGGATCTGGCAAAAGAACATCTGACCTAGCAGCAACAGACTTGAACAAGGAAAAGAAAGAGAGGACACGAGGGAGTCACGCAGAGTACAGGAACGATCAGACAACGACAACTTGGCTGATAGAGCTTGTGGTTGATTGGATGTTTTCTGAAAAGTCACAGAGTGGGATTTTCTGCGTAGGGCGTTTCCATCCTCTGCGTCATCTGTTTTGGCTATAAAAGCCTGTAGTCAGCATCTGTGATTCAAACACCGAAATGAAGTTGAAAGGAAAGGAGGAGGAGAGCTCCGACTACGATGAAGGTTCAAAGGGGGTAAGTGTGCTGGGCTCTATACTTCCAACTTCAGCCTCCCCCGGAGGTGCAGAGCAAGCTTTGTGAGATCTGCAGGTACTTGTAGAGGAAGGAGAAGACCAAGATCTTTTCGGCTACCATATCCACAACTGCTCTCACATGGAGAGCAGAGATGCCTATGTTCTTAAACCCAGTTTATGTTTGTCTGCAGTGTAGTGTTGCACTGAGTCTCATGATTTTCTCTCTGTCTGCAGCTGACGTACCACATAACTTCTGTGTGACTTTCCCCTTCTGTGTGTGAGTTTTCTTTCCTACTTTCTAATCAGTTTTAGGCTGTAGATGCTTCTGGATGGGGGCTACCTTTCACAGCAGCATTTGTGTGGAATCTTGCACAGTGCAATGCTCGTGTACGCCAGAGGTTTTCCTAAAAGTGCTGAATGGAACAACACCAGTGCCTCTTCTGTGATCCTGGGATTTGTTTAGTGTGAGCAAGGCAGCCTGCTTTTCATCACCAATGCGAGAATGTCAACAGTCTCCTCCTAGAAAATGTAGCTGGAAGCCTTGGTTTCCTCCTGATCCTTAGTCTGAGATCAACTTGAATTTTGATCTCCTGCAGTGCCTTAAACTCTGCAGACCTCTGGAGGTGAGCTGCTGGAGCTTCTGAGGAATATAAGGAGTACCAGCAGCTATTTGGACAAATGTTCAGTTAGGGAAATGACAGGTCCTTCACGTGGGACATAAAACCTTGCAGACGTTAAGGCTAATGATGGTGGCAGAAAATTATATGTGTCTGAATGAAAAATTACTTTATTGATGTAGCAGCAATGAGATATATTAGTGAACTATAAAAAAAAAAAAAAACCCAAACAAACCAAACCAACAAAACCAACCCCAAAACAAAACAGCTCAGTCAACACAGCAGGGCCAGCCCGAGGACTGAATAGCAACTAAATTGTCACAAAAAGCAAGTTGCTTGTAACCCTGAGGACTGTGTACCCACAAACATGGTTGGTGTTTGATCCTACTCAGGATGGCGATTTCACCCTTCTTTTTAACCACACAGTGCTGCTTTTACACCCCACAACCAAGCCCTCGCTGAGCTACTTGGATAAATTCTAATTGGCTTCAGTGGCAATCGGATTAGATCCATAAACAGCTTGATCCTGCAATGTGGGAGGCAGAACAAGCCAGCATGTGAAAGCAGAACAAATGAACAGGAAAAGGATTTTGCCACTTCATGCAAAATCTTTTCTTTTTAAAGCTTTCTTGTGCCAATATCCTGTGTTATTTTACTAAGTAATTTGCATGTTGGAAAAAGAATAATTGCATACAATTTTTTTCCCTGCGGGGTGGTATTTTAAGCATGGTAACTTAAAGATTATTCATCATCCAAATGATCCATCAATACCAGAAAAGAGTAGAATGAATTACTGTAATGACTATGTGCAAATCAAGCAGAACAAAATGAGTTATAATGAAAACAACCCATTGGGCTTTCTTTATACAGTAACATGAAGTGAAGAACACAGAAGGCAAGTCTTAGGGTATTTCTTTATTTTTACTGAATGCCATTTACGCCTAAAAGCCAAACCTGCTTCTAAGGTGGTGTTTGAGTGTTTTCTTTCCCCTCTGCAGAAAATGACACTTCCGCTTGCGCTGGTAGCGCTGCTGTCTGCATTTGGATCTTCTTTCCAGTATGGCTACAACGTCTCTGTGATCAATTCTCCAGCCCCGGTAGGTTGGACCCTGGAGCGGACCGTGACCTAGGAGTAGGTTTACAAACAAAACAAGGCAGGAGCCTAACAGTTAGATTATGGGTGTTTGTGGGCAGATGCTTGTACTTCTCCGTGCTTCAGGTCACCAGACTCCCAGCGAAAAGTGGTTCCCCAGGGAAGAAAAGGGGATGTTGAGGCCTATAGCACTACTGTTCAGACTTTGCCCAGCAGAGACGGGGCACGACGAATGTCTTTCCTTCTGGAAACCAGGCAAATCCGATAAGGCAGGATAACTCGTAGTAACAGTTATCTAGCCCAGGCTTCTCCATCCCTCTCTTGCATTCATTTTCCAACTCAGCCATTCTAGTTTGTATCAAGACGTTTGTTTAAAGCTTTACGGTATTTGTTGTTAACTAGCTTTTACTGCGTGAAAATTTTACTTACTGTGCTAAGCGTGCTCTGTATTTCAGTACATGCAAGACTTTTACAACCGAACCTACTTCGACAGGAATGGAGTGCCTATGGACAGTGGCTTCCAGACACTGCTCTGGTCTCTTACTGTGTCCATGTACCCTCTGGGCGGCTTGTTTGGGTCCCTCATGGTGTGGCCTCTGGTCAACAATTGTGGCCGGTACGTGACAGTGGTGCTTAACATCCTTCACCAACAGTTTGCTGGGTTCAGATAAGACTTGCCTCACCGGTCACTCCAGCTTGCCAAGCCCATCAGGAGCATGATGGTGTCACACACACCTTGATCGCGAGGCAGATGGGCCGGTGATTAGTTGCTGGACTCAGCAATATGTGTTGTCTCCCATGCGCAGAAGAATTTATATGGTTTCAACATGGTCAAGGCCGGGCTGTATGCTGGGCACTGAGCCAGGCAGAGAGCAATGATGAAAGTCCTGGGCTGGGATGTGAGATCAGACCCAGCTTCTGCTGCTCAGGTTTCCTGAGAAACTGCACTTCTTCTTTGAAGCCTTCATTCCCTGCAGGAGAAAATGGGACAATCACCATTTTCCCTTTTATTAGTCTTTGAGAGGTGATTCATTTGAGTTTTGGACAGCATAACACAGAGGGGATCTGTCTGTTATTGGGCCCTTAAAAAGAAAAACACCTGAACCTGTTTTCTTTCCCATTACTTTGCAGAAAGGGCACTTTGCTGATAAATAACCTCTTCTCCGTTGCTGCTGCCATCCTTATGGGAACCTCAGAGCTAGCAAAAACATTTGAAGTAATCATCCTTTCACGTGTTATCATAGGAATATATGCGGGTAAGTGAGAGGTTGGATGGTAAAGGGAGAGCAATAAATATGTTCTTGGCTATGTAAAGGTTTTTTGTTCTCACGAGAGATGGTTTCACAGGTAGCATATTTTAGCCACACATCTACATAACAATGCTGTACTTGCTTGAATAACAGTTGTCATTTGCATGTTGCAGAAGTACTAAAGGTCTCTAGTAAACAATGGCAGTGAGACTGGAATTTAAGAAGTACAGAGGAGATGTGTGTCTGTAGATGCAGCTATCCTCTGCAATAAGCATCTGCTAGGCACTGGAGCTCCAACAGCCAGGAAACCTGCTGATGGTAATCTGTTTTCCCAGATATCTTAAAGCAGATAGCCTGGCTTTTTGTTTGTTTGTTTTTTGTTTTGTTTCGTTTTAACATAATCAGAAACAGAATAATCCTTCTAAGTCAAAGTCATTGGAGACAATGCCAGATCTAATAATCCAGTCCTGGAACTGACTGTTATTCCTGCAGGAGAAAAGAAATGTTAAAACGGACAGCAGATAGTTCAGAGCCACTGGATTTACTGCAAAGATAGTGGAAAGCCAAGGAGAATGGTGTATGTGAGTTGCTGGTGTAAGTGGTTCCATTAGAGCTACAGTAACGTGGAACAAACAGAAACCCAGAAGGGCTGGATATCTCATGCAGTACTGTACTGAGTGTGTGCAGAGCCAGGCTGATAAGGGTCCTAACAGCATTTAGGCTCAATTAATTGGCTTTGGGCTAGCGAGAGCGACATCCTCCGTGGTTTAGTAGTGAGTTGGGATATCCTGTGAAGATAAAATGAGAAAACAAGACACTGACATAGGAAAACAACTTGATCTGTAACATACAGCAATTGCAATTGGTGTGCTAAGGCAGGAAATTTATCTAGTCCAATGGTTTTGTTTTGGCTTTTGACTCTCCTAAGCCTGGCAGTTGCTCTTAGCATTGGTTCTCTGAATAAATACTAAGGGACCTGTTAAGTGTGATTACCTCTTTGCAGTTATTTATAACTTACAAAAGAATCTGCACCAGCTGTCCTGACTTGCCCTTCCCGGCTTGATCTCCCTTGAACCGTGGACTTTGTGTCTGGGGAGGGAAGCTGCTGAGCCAAGCCAGCCTGCTCCAGGCTCTGGTAGGGTCCAAGCATCACTCTGCCCAGCAAAAGGGCGGCTCTGGTGTATACAGGGCTCCACTGTGACAGGGCTGGATCAGCATGGGTCTGAACAGTTAGAAAGCCACTGTTAATTGAATGCAGTCATCCAGGAGTCACTGCTAGCATGTTTTAATCTGGGTAATTAAAGGGCTGGATGGAATGTGAACACAAAACACTACACCTCATGAGTTTAGTTTTATAATGTTTTTCTAGTTGCTTTACTACTTGTTTCTGTGCCTTTTGGCTTTCAGATAACAGTTTGATCACCTTTGTAACTCCAAGCTCTTGAAGGCTAGGAACTTTAGAAATGTAAGAAAAGAGTCTCATGTGGTCATTTGACTCCCAGAGTTTGGGTTTTGCATGCCAAGATTTACAGCGTAAGCATGGGAGCTGGCAGCTCGCTGGGGTTACTGTGGGTAACCGTGCAATGTTCCTCAAAATAACCTGGGTCCTTAGCGTCCTAGTTGAGTAGAAATACCTATTCCAACACGCTACCTGTAGGAGATCTCAAACCAGCAAAGCTCTCTGCAAAATGTTACTGAGCGATTAAAGGAGTAGTGAATTTTTAAAAGCCAGCAAGAAGTCACATCCCTCCACCCTCACATCAGCTTGTTTGGACACTGATTTCTTTTCTTGTTTTAGAAGAAGTAGAAATTCTTCCCCCCTTACAGTTTGAGTTTGTTTCCAAACCTGAGGTAGCACACAATTTTTCTTTGCATGTATTGTATTGAAGTACTTGGCAGACCCTGCTGGGAGGAAGCTACTTTTAGGACGATGAATACTGAGAGTCCCCAAATCATCTGCCAGCTTTGTAGGCAAGACAGGCTACTGCTAGCCTTCTTGGACTCCTAAAATGCTTTGCTGCTGAGCAGTTAATAAGCTAGACACTGAAAGCACCAGAAGGTGGGCAGGTTGCCCATCCTGCATGTATGGTTGGTTCCCTACTGTATTTCAATTGACTGGTTTTTAGTTGAGATGGGTGAAACAATCCAGATTCCTTGAATTAGCTCCAGCATGGGAATGCCTCTGCAGCTTAGCTACAGAGACGATTTCTGTCTTAAGTTTAAGATATGTGAGTGTAATATTGACAGCCTTGGCGAAGGGACAGCGTTACGTACAAACAGAGAGGTAGTGGGACAAACTTCTTTGTTTAACGGCTCCCAGAGAAAGCTAGATTCCTGGGCCTTTCTGAGGACACCAGATGCAGTGATGTACCTCTCCACCTACTGAGTGAACCAATGCCACGTGGTTTTTTTGTCCCATGTTCCACTGAAGAGTGAGGAAAACATGCACAGCTTATTCACTGGCCAGAAGATGACATTAATCTTCAACTGGAGCAGAAGGGTTTGGGTGTGAGATTTCCATGTGTCTTGTGGTCCAGCCGGGATCACTTTGGTCTCACTTGGGGAAAAGGCATCTTACTGAAGATGGTGAGTGTGCTGACATCAGGCAGCTGCATGTCTAACATTGTTCTCTAACTCCTAGGTCTGGCTTCCAATGTGGTTCCCATGTTCCTTGGAGAAATGTCCCCCAAAAATCTGAGAGGTGCTATCGGGGTAGTGCCCCAGCTCTTCATCACTCTCGGGATCCTTGTAGCTCAAATTCTTGGTCTCAACAGCATCCTTGGGAATGCCAAAGGTAAAGCCCTGGCTCGGGACTTTTCTGTGGGCTCTGTTGGGGAAAGATTTCTCACAGCTGTCATCTTGTCTCACTTGTTGCAGGCTGGCCCGTGCTGCTGGGGCTCACTGGGATCCCATCGCTAATTCAGCTCCTTATATTGCCCTTTTTCCCTGAGAGTCCCAGATACCTGCTGATACAAAAGGGCAATGAAGAGCAAGCACGACAAGGTACAGCATCATCCTTTAATGAAAGGGGAGGTGGAATGGGATAGATCTGACTGTGGGACATGACTGACAGCAATCAACGGTGAAGCAAGTGTGAAATTCTTCACTGATGTTGCTGGTGGATGGAATTCCTGCAACATTGCTCCTTTCTCTGCATATGTGAATCCCTGAATTCCCACCATGGAAGCACTGCTGCCTATGTCTTACATATTGTTCTGTCTTGATTTGAAGCAGGAGAGCTCACTGTAGACCTGCTCTCTGGGGTTCATAACTCGCCTTCCACTCCCAACTAGCTCTGCGGAAGCTGAGAGGCTGGGATGATGTAGATGACGAGATAGAAGAAATGCGCCAAGAAGACCAGTCAGAAAAGGAAGAAGGACATTTCTCCGTACTCAGCCTGTGCACTTTCAGAGGCTTGCGATGGCAGCTCATCTCTATCGTTGTCATGATGATGGGCCAGCAGCTCTCTGGGGTTAATGCGGTGAGTGGGAAGGCACGTGAGAAAGGCCAGTGGGGTGAGTAATAAAGGGATGGGACTTTAGAATGGATGATGTGGGCCAGTGCTGACACAGGAGTACCCCTTCATCAGGGACATTGCTTCTGCATCATGTTACGGTGGGTTGACCCTACCCAGTACCAAATCCAGTACACACATGTACTAGATACAAAGTCAAGCTGTCCTGTTACGGATAGTTTGGATGTTTTTCAAGTAATGTGCTTGTGCCTGGATCCAAACACCAATGTCTCCAGAAATCAAGGAATTCCGTTCCCAGGCTTCTGTGCACCAGTTCTAGGGTGTAAAAGCAGCCAGAATGGGATTCCCGTGTTCTGCCTTTGGCCACATATAAACACAGCTGTGGTTTTGCTGCAGGTCTTCTACTATGCAGACAGAATCTTCCAGTCGGCAGGTGTGGACAACAACAATGTTCAGTATGTCACTGTGTCGATAGGGGCCATCAACGTCGTCATGACTTTGATTGCTGTAAGTTTCTATTAGGGCTCTTCGAGTTCTAGCTTGTCCAGTCTCCCCTGTCCATCACTGTTTAAATTAGTTTATTGTTTACACATACTGTGAGCTGCTTTGCACAATAGGTGCCCTGCAGTGTCCCTTGGTTGAAGGCAGCTATGTAACCAAAGTGATTAACCATGATGACTTCTCATATGCCTCAGAAGTTTTCAATCTCTGGTCTCCAGGCTGATATGCCCTTTTTTGCTGTCCAGTGTTACCATGCAGGGCTTCTGTGCAGGGCTTCCATGCAGTTCTCACTGGGACCGGGTACTGAAGAACGGCCTGCCTATTCTCTCAGTGTTATTGACACATCCAGCTTTTTGCAGTTTCTGCGTGACTTCATGCCCACAATCCATCAGTAGATGGTGGAAATGTCCCTGGATTTCTTAGAAGACAAAGACTACCTTAATAAATTTTGCCGGAATAAGAAGTGCTGTGCCCCAGGTGTCTGGTTTGTCACCCTCTTCTGTCTCTTCCAGGTTTTCATCGTGGAGTCTCTGGGGAGGAGAATCCTTCTCCTTGCTGGCTTTGGATTGTGTTGTGTCTCCTGTGCAGTGTTAACTTTGGCCCTCAATCTCCAGGTGCGTAGTTGAATGGCTCAGGTGATCCTACCCATGCGTTTCTGGACCTTCCAGGGAACAGGCCACCGGTATATTTTGAAGTTGCTTCTACACCCTGGTGGGGAGGGGACAGTATGAAAGGTCTCTGTACTTGTATATCTACCTAAAGTAAACCCAGGAAAAGCTATGAACTTGCTTGTCTGAATACTACCCTCCAGTATGTCATGTTCATAATACCTGTTGCATCCAGTTGTTGGAAGGAAGGATCATACCCAGGCTATGATTTTTGTGGCTCAGTATGGACATATCTGGCAATGGAGGGTGACACAGGCTTTAGAATGCCTTCAAATCTTACTACAAATAGTGCTTTGAACATGTTGGTGATGTTCAGATGGGAACCGCGTCTAACCTGTGATTAAATTCTTCACAGACCACTGTCTCATGGATGTCTTACCTCAGCATAGTGTGTGTCATTGTTTACATCATCGGCCATGCTATTGGAGCCAGTAAGTATGCACACTCTAGTCCAGTCTCCTCCACAAGTTGGGTAAAGCCAAGTGTTCTCTTCGATTTCAAATCAAAAGCTTTGTGGAGCTAATCCAAGGAGATTGAGTTTCTTCTCTGTGTGGCCATGCACCTTGTTGATTGTCAGCTAGGCTTATTTATGTTCCAGTCGTTGGCCGGCTGCGTCGGTGAAGCAGGGGAGCATCTGGCTTTCAAGAGGAAAAGCAAAGGCACAATTGTGCTTGCGCTTGAGATTCCCTCAGTAGGATCTGGAGCAAAACTACGCTGAGATAGTGAGCCCTACCAACTGGGCAGAGATGCTGCATGCTTGCATCTGTAGGCAACAAATCAAATTAGAAGCGACTCAAATTATATGCGTGGCCCTGCGGATCACTTTGCAGAAAGGAGATGTGCAGATAGGGTGGATATTGGAAAGGCTTTGTCCTGACTCAGCTTCTCAGCGTGGTAGAGTTGTCTGTTTAGCTTGGAAAGCCCTTGCTGGATGCAGCAGTGCAGTTTTGAAACTCCTGTAGAGGTTTCGCTGGCAGATGGAATTACATAAAACCTTTCCTTTTCCATTTATGCCATCAGGCAGATTCAAGTGCTGGGGGCAGGGAGATTGCCAGAGGGAGAACACCAGGTCAGCTGGACCTGTGGCCTGACCCCGTTAATGAGAACATGGTCTTTTTCTGCTTAACCTTGCCACGGGGCGGCACTGCAGGGCACGGGCCTGAGGGCTCGTTCCCTGAGGTGTTTCTCCAACACCTGCACGTGTTGGCCTGTTTCTTTCTTTTTTCAAGCAGCAATGACTTGCTTAGTTGCTGCTCGTAGAGTGATCTCTGGAGAGACAGTTTGTGTTTATCAATCTTATTTTACAATTTGTGCTGGAGATGGGTTCGTGGTTAAGGTGCAACCATAGGAGAGAAGAGGTTGATTGCTGTGTGTGAGTTTAGGAAGTCATTTAGTTGCCCTGGTGTTTTTTTTTTTTATTTAATCCTTTATTTGATTTATCGGGTGTTTCTAAACACTAGTAGTTTAGAAACCATTGCCTGCCACTGAAATGAACAGTGTAATCTAGGAATTCAGAGTGGGAGAATTGCCTTTAGGATTTCCAAATATGCAACTACCTTCTAGGTCCAATTCCCTTTGTGATGATCACCGAGATGTTCCTGCAGTCATCCCGGCCTGCAGCGTTCATGGTGGGTGGGTCTGTGCACTGGCTATGCAACTTCACCGTGGGCCTCGTGTTCCTCTACATGGAGGTAAGATGCAATCGCATGACAGGGCAAGACTTCAGCCTAGAATTAGTATCTTCACCCCTGTGTTCTTAGAGAGCCTTTTTAATCCTGAGAGCTGTAAATGCCCAGGTTGGTTCCCAGTACCTGTATGCAGGATTATACATTAAGGGCAGGAAACTGATGCTAATCAGCAATTTTTTATCGTTATCTATCTGTTGCACCTGCTTTAAAAGAAAGCAGTTACTTTTCCAGGTGAATGTCTGATCCTGAATTCAGGAGCATGGAAAAGATTGCAAATTCCCCATCTTCCATTGGGTGATGGAGGGGGTGTGTGTCTCAGGGAGCCAATTTCGGCTTTTGATCTCGAGGTCACCAGTTCAAACTGATCCCCAGCGGTAGTGACTCATAAACTGCTACAGTTGCTGATTTTAGCCTGTGCAAAGGGAGCTGGTGAGTTTAGTTTGATTTATGCAACAGACCCTCAGCCTCCTTTTGCAGTAAATCCGTGGTGGTTTCCAATAAATCCATGGTGGTGGTATGAGAAGACAGAATCTAGAAGCACCCCGAACTTCTAGTCGTTCAACTTAAGATATGTGCACATCAGGGGTTCAGCATGTCGAAATCATGTCATGAAGGCAACCGGAGTATTGCCCTGATCCCTGCTCTGTCTTCTTTCGTTGTCTTAGGCTGGACTGGGGCCCTACAGCTTCCTCATCTTCTGTGCCATCTGCCTCGCCACTATAGTTTACATCTTCTTAATTGTTCCTGAGACGAAGAACAAAACCTTCATGGAAATCAACAGGATCATGGCCAAGAGGAACAAGGTGGAGATTCAGGAAGACAAAGAAGAGCTTAAGGATTTCCACATTGTCCCAGGCAGGCAGGCAGAAAATAAAATCTCCAGCAGCAAGCTGTGACCCAGCCCACTGTTTGGGCTGGCCCAGACATTTTTGAGGATCTGTTCAGTGGGAGAACAAATATATGGATTCATCGTTTGATACTGATCTTCATTCAGACTTTCTGCAAATTTCCCACAGCAGGAGTTTCCAAATAAGCCATTGTGTCTTGAGAGTGTTCTCACTTTGAGTAATTAGCAGGACCATTCTGCTTCATGGCATAGCCACTGCCAAGGCAAACTACCCATTCATGGTATTTGTCACAAGGAAAGGGCAATATCCTCAGCCAGCTCAGTTCCTGTGATCAAGTGACCTATGTCATAAGGTGATGTATGTCCCTGGTGTCCTGACTGACACATCTCAGGGTGACACAAGTCAGCACTTGGGCTGGGTTTTGGTCAGTTGTGTGCAAGGAGTGCAGCGTCATTCATGTATTTGAGGGTCCAGCATGAGTGATGCCAGGCCTTTGGTCCTCTGGGGTGGAGAGACTGTCAGTCGTTCTGAAGTAGTTTGTTAGATGGGCTGATAATGGCATTTATCCTGCCAACTCTCGTTCTTCCTTTGTGTGTTTCAAAGGACCGCTAGACTGGAAATGCATATGACTATAATCTCACCCCTACCACGCTCACCCAACTCTCCTTAAAATCAAACCTAGTCCTCAGCTGTGGCTGGTGAGTCCTTCCAAAGCCTTATTCTTGAGGTTAGGAGTCTTCCATCTGGCTGATGCTTATTCACAACCGTTTTATACCCATTTGCTCCAGTGGCACTCTAGTCTTTGAGCTGTTTAGCTCATTTCACTCCCTACTGTTTATACTTCAGTTGCCAAAGAGTAACAGTCCCTTTCTTAATCCTTTAATAACCCTCATATCCCTACTCTGTATGCATGAGCCAGTTGAAGCTCATTTGTCCCCCCAGACATACATGCTATTGAACTGAAACTTCTGATGGTTCTTGATTGAATGTGGATTTTATACAAATCCTTACAAAGAAAGCCTCTGCTCTCAGTGCTGTTGAAAAAGCCTTAAATGAATCTTTTTCATCTCAAATCAGAGACTTTTATTCTGTTTCCAATGTCCCCAAACTTTAAAAGATGAATTAACATTCATAACCCAGGTAGTAATGTGAGTTGAGGGTAAGAACTTCCCTGCTGCATTGCAGGAGTCAAATTCAGGTTGATTCCTGTGCAGTGGGCTACAGGTTGGAGCCTGTGTTTGCAAACGTGTCCAAACTTGTCCTTAGCTTCTCACATTGAGTTGCTTAAATTTAGTTTTTGAAATAACTCAGCTCTCGGGTACTTGAAACCACTTGAAAAAGTCTTCAAATGGTTTAGAGCTTGGTCCTTCTTCTGGTTTCTGGTTGTGTCCCCTAAGGGCACCATTCCACCTGAAGGCTAAATTGGTCTGGAAAAGCTCTGGGTCTAACGACTAGTGGCAATTCTCAGAAGAAACTGAAGTGCACACTGATAAAAATGGAGGGTTTCTTAAAGTATTTATTAGTTTAAGGGGGTTTGGGGTTAATTATGGCATAATTTAACATCGAGAAATTAAATTTAATTAATTGTTATGCAGGGCTGCTGCCCTTGGTTTTGAAAAAAGCAGAATTGTTGAAAACCCTGACATGGATTTTGTGTTGTTCATGGAGAGTGTCCTTCACATGATTTACTTGAATCTTAGAAAATGAGTTTTATACCTGCCCTCAAACATGTGATGTGTGCATGTTCAAAAAGAAGGTGTTTCCATGCTCTACATGCCTTTACAGAAAAGAAGGCATACCACTGATCAAAGCACAATGATTGCATATGAGCCTCACTCTGTCCTGCAAGGGCTTTATGTGTCCTTTCCTATGTGATATGTCTGCTGGGGAAGGGGTGGTGATTTGATGGTGAGAAATAGGAAGGAAGGACACATGCAGGGAAGATGGTGAGAAACTGAGACTGGGTGAAGGATGTGAGAGAAATTTTATTTGAGAAAGTGGCTCCTTTGAGCAAAGAGGACAGCTCTTTGGCACATAGGAAGATCTGTGTATGGGGAGCTAAATCAAACTCCTGGGAGGGATGTGACAATGCAAGGTAGTGGACTGTGCCAAGTTCTGCTCTGTTCTTTGCCTCTATCCCACCGATGGAGATTTGCTCTCTTGTTAAAAGGACGAGGAACACTAGCAGGTGCATAGTGAGCCTATACAAAGCAGGAGGAGAAACAAGCAAATAATCTAAGTTTTTCTCAGTTTCCCCAGCAAGCAGTTTGGCTTTTTCTGCCTTAAAAAAGAGAGAAGAAAAAAAAAAAAAAAGTTGGGGTCACTGACAGCTGGTGTCAGATTCCAGAACCACCCCACCCAAGAGGGTCATGGAGGTTTCTCCCCATGCTATGACATCTCCCTTCAGTTGCCCTGGTTTGCACAGTGCGAGTGCCCGAACATCTGCAGCACTGAGAACTTGGCTCCACAGGTTCACATGAGTCATCCAGCCTGCAAAACCATTGGAGAACGTCCCAAGAAGAGTGTCTCTGTCTTTCCCAAGGACAAGCGTTCCTCCAGCCTGGCTCACATACCCCTTCTGGATACTCTTTGCTTTACCAGCTGCTCCATTGAGCCATAAATTTGCTATTCCAGACTCAGAGGCCCATGCCATGCAGTAGTGCAGCCAATCTTGTTCCTTGTGGTACAGGGGGAAGGTGATGAAATGGCCTCCTATCCACAATCCCACATCTGTGCCCACGGTTATCACTATCTCGTTATCCCTCTCCTGTGTGGAGTAGGAAAGAACAGTCTGACTGCCAGCATGCTGGGCTTTTGTCCAGAAACATAAGGTGAAGGCTTGGAGAGACATATCATGGAGGGGATGAACGTTCACAAAACTCTCAATGTTTTCCACAGGGAAGTAGAAAGCTGGAAATGTGCTGGATTTAATACCTGAAATAACAAAAAAGCCAGCTGTTACGTTTCCTGCTGTGCTTATGAATCAGCCCAAAACCTGAAGAATATACCCATAGGAACTGGCAGAGCTGCGGCAGTCTTAGGTGGCTTGAGCTGCAGTTACTGGCGTGTGTTGTACCAACAGGGAAGGGGCTTGAAATGATGAAAAGTTAGCCCCCTCACCCAGCTGTTTGGGAAAATAACTTTTTTCTCTTCTTCTTTTCTCATCTTGTGTAAAGTAGAGATGATGATTGTTTATCCTAGGGGAACTGTGAGCTTAAATTCCTCACTGTTTGTAATAATGTGCTTACTTGTTGCAGGAGAAAGCTGCAGTTGCTGTGGGAGTATCTAGATTAGGGCAAGCTTTAATGATGCTGTAGTTGAAGAATTTCCATCAGCAGGTCTCGATATGGGACAAAATTCTACCTGCACATATCAGTACCAAACCCCTTAATGATTTAGGCCACAGATGTGCGTTTCTTACCTATGTGGCTCACTCCATTCAGCAACTCTCTCTTCATGTCTTGGAGCTGCATCTGGATTTGTTCCAGTCTGAGGTTGAATTCTTCTGCGTGGCATTGTTCTAGAGTAATCAGACAGCGGAATTTACAGAAGGCCAGGACCTGCACATGGTAGATTTTTTTTTTTTCTCCTTTCTAGTTTGTAGGTTTGGGGAAAACCTTTGTTTTAAAATGCAGCGTCTCACCTCCATATGGTGCCTGGCTAATCAGCCATGCCAGAACTGTTTCTACAATGGTTAGTGTACCTCACCCATATGGATGCAGACACATCTGAACCTAGTATTCTTGTGTAGTGCCATGTAGTACCACTTATCTTGGGAGACCTGTGTGACACCATTGCAGTCAAAACAAAGCGCTGGCACACAACCTGCAACCACCACTGCACCATTAGCAGCAAGTTGTATTGGCCCGGGGCAAAAAGGCATGTGGGCCATCTCCACCTGCTGTGCAGGGACACTGCTACACTGGTATTCCTGGGAAAGGTGATCTCCAACATGCCTAGCTTAAGTGATTTGCAACTTAACTCCTTCCATGTAGGTCTCCTGACTCTCCCCAGGGAAAGCCTGAGTCGTGCCTGCTGACTGCCTTTACCTTGGGTGAGTTTGGCTCTGAAGGAGGACTCCACCACGCGCCCGTTGAGGGGCTGAGCATGCCGGTAGTCGTTGCGCAGTGTCCTGTTTTCCCAGTCCAGCAAGGTGTTCTCTAGGAGGCTGATCTGCGAGCAACACAGGCTTATTACAGAGGGCGATGGGAACAACAGTTTTGCCTAGAATTGCAGTGCAGATTTTGCAGCTCAGGATTAAACCCAGCAATATGTTATAGAGGAACCCACAGGGTGGCTTGCTGATTATTAGCAGGGGAAAGGAACAGAACACGAGGGCTTTTATCAGCTAATTCATGATAAAGGTATTTTGCCTGAAGGAAGTTTTTAACACCTGCCTGATGGTATGCATAGATGGAGATTTTGGTGCTCTTCTGTAGCATACTGTTTTCTCACAAGTGCCTACTAGCCTTCCCCCTACCAAAAAGAGTATTTCTCTTTCAAATGAGAACCCACTGTGATCCTCCACTACTCTAGTCTCTGCTTTATGATGTTGCTGTTCTAGAAGAAAAAGTTTCTGATGCTTCTTTTTCATTAAGAAAGATGAACCACTCTGTAAGACTTAACAGTAAGCTTATTTTAGTTGTGTTTACTTTTTTTCCCCTGCTAAAGCCTTTGTCCTCACAAGGCAGACAGAGAGAAGAGAAGGGGATCCTGCCATGTGATGGTATTCAACTGCTGAGACAAGTGGGGTTACTGCCCAGTGCTCCTGTGCACTCAACAAAGACCTCTGTAATGCTTCTGCTGGAGCCTGGATAACCCTTTCCTGTCATACAGCCAAAACTCACAGCAGGCCACTCCTGAAATGATCCAATCTAGCTGCACAATGTACGTGTAGACAAGAAAAAACCTGAAATACGCTTTTAAAAATGTGCCAATTATTCTGTAATTATTTTAAAGTTATGAATGGCTCTTTTATGTTTTGGGGGGGCTGGTTTTGGACTCTTTTGCAGTAATTTTTGCCTTGTTGATTCTGAGTGGTCTCTTCCTTTTTATAGTCCCTCAGTATGGTTGAGCTTAACTGAGCAGAGAGCTTTGTTATCACTCACCAGACCTCAGGTAAACTGCTGCTATACAGAAACTAGCCCTTGCTGTGATAGAGCGTCACGGTGTCATTACAGCCACCTGTAATTCCAGTTGCTCAGGAGTCTGTCCCAAAAGCCCTATATGAGAAAAGTCCTATTAGCTCTTCTGTCAGGCTGTTCTCAAAATCACAGGAGGACAGAAAAGGAAACTTGTGTAGAAAGGTGAAGCGCGGAGGAAAGAGAGGCTGCTCTGTCTGGTGAACAGTTATCACTCACCTGCGTGTGTGATAGGACAATCGGAGAATGGAAGATGGTCCAGATCACACTCTCGAAGCAAGGTGGGGTTGTTAGTGAGCCCTGGTACCTGTAGAAGTGCGAGAGGTTTTCTGGCAGCATGGCTTGGACATCCAGAGAAATGAGCTTTGTTGATTGACCTCAAAAGGAAACAGAGAGGCAATATTAACAATTAATGGGGAGCAAAGAGAAAGGCGAGAGTGGTGTTAAAGCTGGGATTGGCAAATCACTTTGCCCAGAGCACTGGTATATTAGACCTTTGGCAGAACTGGATGAAGATGGAGGGAAACAAATGGTTCTTTCAGTGGGTTTACGGTTTGTCATCCAGAGATACCTGGGGTCCTGGAGGTGGTGGGCAACTGCACCTCGGTGCTTTGCCACTAACTGTTAGTCCTCGCGGGAAGCGGAGTGTATTAGTGCAGCAGAGCACCTGCTGTCTGGGTGTACGGACTGCAGGACTGTAGGAAGTTATCAGATGGTGCCGCAGTGTGTTGCGTAGACCTACCGGGAGTATGTTTATTGCTGCCTTGAGCATCTTCCACACCACCCTGCTGTGTGGGCTGCTGTTTGAGATACGTGGGCAGGGATGGTGTGAAGTTGTGCATGGCTGAGGATGCTTGGCCGCATAATTGCAAGCAAAGCAGCAGCAAAATGTCTGTCCCCAGACCCAGTACATATGTACAGGCTTTGAGAATATCAAGTATGTAGAAAGGCATTCCCAGGTCTTACCTGCAAACCTGATTTTTGCCAGTTTGGAAATGAATTCACTGTAGTAGGTATTCTCGAAGTGCCCATCCTAAACACAGCATAGAAACTTGAACAAAAGGTTAGTGACCTGCCTGTCCTTCTATAGTACTAATCAGCTTGGGGGACTAACTGATGAATTGGGAGATAAAGAGAACAAATACTATTGCAGATCTCTTGGTAGGCTGGACAATCCTAGGCATAATAAGGTATGTACACATAGATCTCAGAATAGTGAACTGTAAGGATCCTTTTTCACCTTTCATTTCTAAACGCACACAAAATCAAGTGTTCCCACTTGCAAATCAGAGCAAAGCCTTGAGGTACAGCAGGGAGAACCCAGCTGCCACACCTGATAATCCCTCTGTACTTCTTATGGGACAAATTTTTCTGGGGCTCCCAAGTTTTAATGGCTGGTATTGTGTGAACCCCAGATGACATAAGGGAAGAACAGTCCTGCTATGGCATAGCTTTCTCAAACTGATGGCAGACATCATCTCTCAGGATAAATGTGCAAACCTAGTGCAGGCTGCTTGTGTCTGGACCTGCTCAGGCTGCGATTGTAGTATAAACAGTGATCACAGACTGGCTTTGCTCAGCAACCTGGGCATCAAACCTACCACATACAAGAAGGCAAGCACAGCCAATCCATTTGGTTTGTCTTTGGCTTCTTCAAAGCTTGAGTAGTCAGCTGAGTTGTAATGGACAATGTGCAGCTGTCAGAAGAGAGAAAGGGTCATTTAGGAAGAAGTGATAAATGGCTTCCTCCGTGCTTTAAAGGACCAAATACAGACTGAAGGGAGAGTCACCATCCCACCTCCTGCTGCTTGTCCCTTGCAGCACAGCCAAATAGACCTTTAGTTTAATAGGTCTGTGATGAATGTGGAAGAACAACCCCTTCTTTGAAAGATATTAGTGCTATTGCAACGGCTTTTCTTAGTCTTTTGTGCCAGCACCATCAGGCTCAGCCCTTGCATTGCACCAACCACCTGCACTTACGGGAGCCCTGTTTCTCCCATTTGTCTCTGCCTTGCTTCCTGCAGGCTTTGTGTGCTGCAGCCTCCCATTTTCCAATTGCTATACTTGCAACGCATCCTCCCTCCACACCGCTCCATTCACAAGTACCTCTGCAAAGTATCTCATCCCGTCTATGGTGTGTTCAGAGCCGCTGGTCTCCAGGTCCAGGCCACCCCAGTGCAGATGCATCTGTACAGCTGTGTAGAGGCCTGGGAGCCCTCCGGAGATGTGCATGGTGGGTGGCAAATCAATCTGAACTGAAAAACAGGATTGGAGACAGCAGTGGGTGCAGCCATGCCCGTTCCTGTAGCTACGCTTACAGTGCCTAGTGCTGTCTGCTAATAACACCCTCTCTCAAATAAGCTGGCACAGTCATGTTCAGGGAACTAACTCCAGTATGCAAGGAAAAGCACTGAAGCTTAAAGCTAGGTGTGCTTAAAATCCTTCCTGACCTCAGGCTTCTGCACCACAAAGACCATACCGGGCACAAAGATGACTGGGCACTAGCTGTGTCTGCAGACTTCTTTTCCATCTGAGCAGCTCTGGGTTTTTCCTTAGGCAGTAATAAGTGTGCTTTAAGACTAATCTCTTGCACAGTACATCACGTCTTGCAAGGCAGTGCACAGATTTGTTAACTACTTTATTTCTGAGGAAGAAAAGGGGGATAGAAATCAACAAAGCGGCTGGCCTCATCTAACCTGTCATCATAATTTCCAGTGGTCTGGACCCTGCATCTTCTAGGAACAGGCATACTGGGCCAGAGCCCTGTAAGTTTGAAAAAGCCGTGTTAATGCTTGAAGGATTTGTAGAGACAAATCGCTTTGCTTCTCCTTGCCAAGGAGTATTCACAAAGAGACTATGAAACATTTCTGCTAATGTACTGCCACAAATCACATATTATGTTAATAAATACACTAAATCTAGGAGTGAAAATAGAGAATTGGCTCATCCTAATGAAAACCCAGAGCATGTTATAAAAAATAGCAACTATCCTTGCAAAAGGTATCACAATATATGATTCATTGGTCATAGTTTGGGTTTATGAGAAGTTTCTTTTGTTTGTAAGCTGTTTACAGACAGACAAGATGAAAACATGTTTCCTTGTAACATCCCAAAGAGTCTAGAGTGGGGGGAAAAAAACTATCTACCTTTTTACATAAGATCCCTGCTGACTGCCTTTCATAATTAGGGTTATTTACCTCAAGTACCTCACTGTGGTTTCTGCTTTCTGCAAACACAGCCGGAGAATTATGTTCTGAGTTTATGGGAAGCTTAAGTCTTCTGTAAGATATTTTATGCAAATACTTTGCAGAAAGCATGAAGGTAGGTAACAGCCCAGTTTGCTTCTACTTTTCACCAGCGTAAAGTGTGTGTGGAAAGCGTGACTGCTCTGAGCTGGAAGTGCCTTACTCCTGCTTAGTTCTAGTTTTGCCAGGCAGTGCAAAATTGGCTGGGATTATGCAGTGTGAATCTGACTGTAACTGTGCCTTTCTCTAGCATTTCTGCTCTGCTCTCTTGTCCATTACTGCCTTACCGATTACAGCACATGCAGCAAGCCTATTTTCCCATCTCTGGCCTCTGAGGTGGTTGAGTTTAATGAAATGAAGGCCACATTTAAGGTCCCACTTCTAAAACGAATCTGCTACTGGAGGAAGCATGCGCATCCTGCATGGATGACATTTTAATCATCCAGAGCTGTGCATGTCCTTGCTACCTGCTAGAGGACCAATCCTGTTTAAAAAAAAAAAAAAAACAACAAACAAAAAAAACAAAACGAAGTCCAAATGCCAAATACAAAAGGCTTCATTAACTAAGGTTATCTGTGTGAGTGTGTTTGCACACAGACATTCTGCACTACTGCAAATAGGCTTTCTCAGGTGGCATTTAGCCTGGTAATTATACAACTAGAGAGAAAGTGTAGCTGGTTTCTTAGGTGAGACACTTGGTTTTCAGATCCTGAGAGCCTGTAAGGAGAGTCCTGTTGATAAATCCATCTCCTGTCCCTTTCAGATCAGCTGAATGCTTTCTATTGTGGCCCAGTGGAATATTTTCCTTGACAGATGTTGCTACCCTGTCCCATCTCACTGAAGCCAGTAGGAAAACCTAGCCTGACTTCACAGGAGCTGTGAATAAGGACAGTCGTTTGCCTTTGTTCTTTACTAAAATGCCCTGCATCAGATAATCATTGTTCTGATGTTAACAAAAGAATAGGAAAATACACACGTGTGGTCAGATCTGAAAGCTAGACCTGCAGAAAGTAATTTGTAGGCAGTCAGAGTAGCAATGTTGACATGAGAGCTTCTAACTGAATGTAGAGCTTGTGGGGGCAACAAACAGGAGTTATGATTTTCAGAAATAAAATCACAACAGTTTTTCTCTGAAGGCAGTATGTCTCTCATCACTTCATTTCCTTGCTCTCACACCATATTTCTCTCTCGTGCTCTGTTACAGAGACGAAGAAAGGACTGTTGTGCAGGATTAAAGAGCTACCAGCTTTATGTTCCAAACACCTTCCCCCAAAAATACTCATTCCCTCTCCACTGCAGCTATTAGAAAATTGTCTCATTGCTCATCTGTAGTCCAAAAGCATTATCCCAACAGTACCAGCTGATTAATTATTTAGACAATGAATTACAGACTGCAGCAGGGGAATCCAGGACCTCCTAAATGATAAGCCTTGCCCTGAGACTGTGTGGCCCAAAGCAAGGCTTTTAACCCATGCTGTGCTTCAGCTTGCCTTCCTGAGACCTGAAATACCAGTCCTCTGACTATAAGGGAGGGATTCTCCTCAGTGTTGTACATTGTATGAACTATATCTAACCAAACCTTGCATGCAAACTTGCTGTTGAACTCTGGGTCTCTATTCCTATCACTTCTAGTTTTTATTATTGCACAGGGGAAAAAAGATGCATTTTCTGAATGCAGAGAGGAGTCAGCATGACCCAAATACTACTCTTTACTATTGTCCTGCAGTCTTGTAGTTCACTGAAAGAAAGGGTCAATCTAGAATGTTCTAGCTGCCTTTCATCCCTTTTTAATGTCTAACAGAGAAAATATCTTGCGGAAATATAACTGCCTTTTTTTTTCCCTCTGGTTTATATATGTGTTTCTGGAAAGCTTTCATGTGTGATTGAGGAAAACACCAAAACTAGGAGAGCAGAATGAGGTGAGATAGTAAAGTAAGGTGAGTGTAAAAAAAAAAAAAAAAAAAAAAAAAAGGGGGGGGAGCGGGGGCTTTGTCTGGATAGCACTTCAATCAGCTAAAATGAATAATCTGTTTCTGCACTGTCATGAGCTTGACATACTCCCAGGACATCTGCTCAGCCAAGGAAGAAAAACCCGCCTACTGCTACAGCACAGTTTGCTCATTCCATCGCATTTCAACTTAGTGTGACTTGCTAGCCACGAAAGATTTGCGATCATGTTCTAGCTACGGCAGAGTGTTGAGATGAACACACAGGAGCTGTTCCCATATCCTGCACGTGCTGGGAAAATACATACCTGAAGTCATAAAGTCTCCTTTATGTCCCAAACACAATGTAATAAGTGCATGCTACACTGCCTGGTGGAAGCCTCCAGAGGATGCACTACAGCCTGCTTCAAAGCTTAAAAGCAGAAAGCTGTCAGGTTCAGGTATCTCTTCCATCAGTTGTCTCAGCAGGAAGGTATGTTCTTTCTCCCACTGAATGCACTGCAATACTCAACCCAATATGATGCACAGAAAGCTGAACTCGGCAGTACAGGACACTAACAAAGTGGTGTGGATAAAAAGGGTTGGGTTTTCAGGACAGCCCTACTATTAAAGACATCTGCATTTCAAAAATGTAAGGCCTTTGCTTTGCTGCTGCTGGCCTGTTCCCTGCACTCTTGGCTGCCAGCATCACCGACTGTCATGGAAGCAGTGCATGGGAGGGCCCTGGGTGCTGCATGTGCAGTGATCCATGCATGTACGAAGCCATGGCTTGGGGCAAAATGCAGCTGGAGCGGATAGGCAGCACTTGCTTCCTTGTGCCTTAGAGCTTCTCTTGCTGACTAAAAGATGACTGACAGCTCGAGCTGTTGCAGGACCAAATAAACTCCTTGAGCCCTATGCCCTGATTTCTGTTTCAGGCTGCTGCTTTGTCAGCAATGACTTCTTGACCAGCTCCTCTTTTTAGGTATGTAATGAGAAGGATCCCCCTAGTCTTACCAGAGTGACCGTTGTTGGTCATTGTGAAATCCCCCTGCAAAGGCCCGTCATAACCACTCAGCTCTAGCTGCAGCAACTGGGGGTTGTACCTCACTTTTTTCCTCTGGATGTCAATTGGAGATTGGTGTTTGCCAGCACAGTCTGCAAAGTGCTTTCCCCAGTGCTCTTCATCCAGTTTGCCTTCTGTGTGGAGGAGAAACAAACCAGGTTATTAGGACATGGTGAGAACTGCTGTTAGCTCAGGAGTCAGAAAACTCTCCTCATTTGCCAGCAGGGCATGTCAATCTAGTTATTATAACACTAGGACTTGCAACAATAAAAGGTTCTCTGCCTTCCCTAGAGTGAAAATATATGTTATTCTGTCTGCAGGACAACTGTGCTGCAAAATAAGAAACCTGCATTGCAGTAATAGCTTACTGGTCACTGGAGATTGAACCTCCACCAAAAGAGAAGCAGTGTTCATATAGAAATGGGGATTTAAATGTGTCTCAACTGCCAAAGTTGTGGAGTCGGGTTCTCAACTGATGTGAGAGTGAATAGGACCAGGGCAATGGGTGGGAAGTCTCTGCTTAGCAACTCTGCTGCCAGTTCCTGATCCTATTTTTAACTAGGGAGAGAACTAACAAAAGAAGAATAGGAATGAAATGGTTTAAACAAAATGAACCTTTTATTATATGTTTTCTGGGATAGGAGTGGTCTGGGGTGGCTTTGATGTCCTGGGTGTGTTTTTATTAACGAAACCCACCCCTTTCCTCAGCACAGTGCTATGCCTCTTCCTGGTGCCCCCTTTTTACACACAACAAATAATGAGAAAGCGATTCATTGCTTTTGTGAGACACATCCTTGTGTGGAACAGGACCTGGGCATCCCAATTTCTGGATTTGGTTGATTGCTCTGAGCTTTCGATGCCCTTCCAGCCCCCAGGCCTAATAGACCCTAAAGGTCACGCTAAGTGTTTATACCAGCTCCTTTTCCTGCTCAGTGTCACTGGCTCAGACACAAACCTTTGACATGGGACTAAGAACTAAAGGGCTTAGCTTCACCTGCACGTACTCATAATTTCTGCAAGTATTTAATACTAAAAATCTCTTGTGGTCACCTATGGAGGAAGCAAATGTGTAAGAGACCTGGCATGCTGGATGCTAGCCTTTTTCCAATAGCTTTAAGCCTCTTAGTCCTAATTTGAATCTTTCCTGCAGAGGTCTGGGTGCTGCTGAAACTCTTAACAAATGCTTGAACCTTTTAAGGCTATTTTCCCTCTCCATAGTGCTGTATTTAGGACTTCAAGGATAAGTAGGAATTTTGATGCCATCTCTGTCATGGCTGTGACTGACAATCAGTAAGGAAACCTTTTCTTCTTCACCCCAGAACTGCAATATATTGATCAATGTCAGAGTCATGTCTGTCTGAGACAAACAGAGCTAGAGCTAAGGAGTAATCATCACGTGATTGTTAAACTCACTGACCGCAAATCCTGCAGAGATGGTTTGGAAGGAGAGGTGATTGTTGTAAAAAGAAAATAGTTCAAAACTACTTCAACGTCTTCCTAATTTTCAAATTATTATAATTACAGCCGCACCTAAGGATTTGTTACTATTTGCTAATTCTTTTCTTTTTATTTTGTTTAAGTAATGTCAATTTGCAAGTATTTGTTTCCTGACATTGATTAAGTATGGGAGGCTTAGGAGATGCAGGCAGCCTGGCCAAAAGAAAATCCAGAGAGAACTTCTGCAAACGGCTTAGTGTCCTAATTGCGATGTTGCATCTAGTCAACAATATCCTTTGTTTTAGCTTGATTCCCAGCCCAGTGAAGATCATACAAGGACTACCATTTACTTCAATGAGCTCTGCAAACAACCCCCTAAAACAAATGAAAATCAGAAAAAATTTCACAGAAAATATAAATGCGTGAATAAGTAATTCTTAGAGACTGTACTGCATGGAATATGACAAAAAAATAATAAACAGCCAGTTTTTAAAGCTTTTCCTTCCAGTATCATCCAAAGGGCAGCTTTTATTCTAACACATTGTAAAGATTTCGCCCATTGTTTGAACCTCATTGGTCTGCCAACTCTGACAATGTGTCCTAACCGCACAAAGGCATAAAAAGGGGTGACATTGAAGAGAATCACTTTCAAGACACACAGGCATCAATAAAGTGGAATAAATTAGCTGCTCTGTGGAGATCTCTCACTAACGGAAAAAGAGTCAAGCTGAGTGTTGTTTCTGCAGCACAAAAAGGATGGGAGTGTCTTTTACCAAGCAGTAGCAATCCCCAAACAGCCTCATTTTTCATTACCTTTGTATGTCCAGTGCACTAGGTGAGAGCAGCCCAGATGCACCAGGAGCAGCTGGAACAAGACAGCTGTGATCCACATGTCTCTCGCTGTATCTGCAGTCAGAACCAAAGTGGAGAGTTCATTTCTTTAAAAATCCTCAGGAAGTATAAATACTAATTTACTCCAGGTATGGCCTTTCCAGCACCCATTCCACCCTTCTCCTCACCCATCCAAAACATTATTGCCATAGAGATACTTTATTTGGACAGCCAACTTTAAACGCTAAAGGTACTTCATTGATTCTTTGAACCAAGCCGCCTGTGCAAATGGAACAGGTTTCCCCCGATGGACAAAGCTGATGGCCTCGGAGTCATTGTCTGACCCCAGCTGCTGCACGCTCTCTGCCCACTTTTCCTGTCCATTCATTCCTGATGAGCAGGTAGAAAAGCTTCCTTGCAAGTATCCTTAAAACAGTGCTTTGTAAGCAAAGATACCTAACAGATCTCAAAACACTGTCCTGAGGTGGCCAACTGTTTCCTTGTTACACAGAGGAAGGAGCCAAGGCAGAAGACATTTAAGGGGCTGGTTTTCAAAAGTGCTGAGTATTCACAATCTTAGTAGAAGTCAAAATTGTAGAGACTTAGCTCCTTTGAAAATCAGACTTCTCAGGCCAGATTTAAAAGTGCTCCACACCCACAAGACCAGTATTTCAAAGCATGTTGCTTTCAACACCTTCCCTAGTCACTGAAAATCTAGTTTTGAATGTGAGAGAGTTGCAACCTTTGGAAAATTCAGCGCTCTGAAAAAATCTTTAGACTGTTGAAAGATACAGGCATGATACAAGATACTGAAACCCTGATGACTTCTTAAAAAACATATGGGAATTCAAATAAAAACTAGCAGGTGTCGATGTCTAAATGCTCTTGTGGACTTCAGTACTGGCTCTATACATATTCAGCCACTCGATTTCCTTAAAAATGTGTCCCAACCAAATAATTGCCCAAGGTCCAGTAAAAAAAGTCATTTGGCAAACCAGGGAACAGACCATGGATCTTGTGCCTGCCTTTTTTTTTTTGTATCCTGTTTCTAGGCAAATGTCATTCCCTTTGAAAAGCCTTCTCCCCACTCCCACCTCCCAAGAATGACACACTACCAACAGCCCTTTCTGCCCAGCACTGCTTCCCAACCCATAAACCCACAATTTAATAACAAAAGGGGAGCAGAAGTCTCCGTCTTCGCAGGAATGGAATTTTCACCTGGTGCTGAGAGGAGCTACAGCCTACACCAAATGCAAATCAACTTTGCAGTTGATTGGGGGTGACAGGCAGCAATATGAAACATTTGGCAAGAAAACTCACATCAGTGAAATCTCAGCACTTCTGTTTCCAATGCCCCTGCCACTTGCAATAATATTTGCAATTATTATTTTCAGCAATAAGGTACATAATAACAGCAATTCAACCATGAGAGCCAGAGGTGGGTTACAGATTTTACGTGAACTCGGGTTTCTAGGATTAGACTGTGCTGAAGAACAGAAGCAGGTTTTTATTCAAAATCTTATTCTTTGCAAGTGAATTGTTAACATTAAAAGGCCCTTCCCGATTTGCTGTTTTGTGCGGTGCATATTTAATCTTTGGAAACTACTGTAATATTGAGTTGATTAACCAAATGTGTATTTTCCCCTCTCTCCCCTGAAGAAGTCATTTATTCTGACAGTTGCACTGAACTGTGTAAGGACTAAACTAATCAAACATGCCCCGCAATGCAGTTCATAATCCTTGTGTATCCAGTTGGGTAAATAAGCTTTGAAATTAGCTGAGGGAGAAATTTTGGGGGTTTATACCTGTTTATACTCCAGAATTCCACACAGCAGCACATGAGGGTGTGAACAAGAGTCAAGAACAGGAGGTCATCTCTGCACCAAAGCATCCCTCCTGCCACCCTGCCTGTGTGTGCACGCCAAGAGTGTTTAAATGGATTTCATTCAGGGACAAGCTGTTTCTCTTGCCTGTGCTTTATCGATCAGCTAGCCCAGTCTGCACAAAGGATTTGAAATAAAGCCCATTTGAGAATGTACTGGTGCCAGGAAACTGGAGATGACAGTGAATTAATTTTTAATGGAGCTTTTGCAACATGCTAAAATTGTGACATTTCACCTGACATCAGCAAGCGCTGTGGGTGCTCAGCACATCCAAAAAAACACATGTCTGTTAGCTCAAGTTAGCTTCCCCCAAATTAGTGGCTACTCTGGAAGACACAGAAATCTGGGGAGAGGACTTACTAAGGGCACTAAGTATGAATTTGTTTTGGAGTTATGACCGAACAATAATTTTAATGAAACTCTTTAAATGTATTTGAATATTAAGCTTCTAACTACAAGCTGAATAGTACGGAAGGAGTCCTCCTCCTGTATAAAGTATCGCACACATCAACCATTGCTTATTGGTTCTTGGAGCTATAGCATTTTTAGTGTATATAGTATTAAACCTGGCTGTCTTGAGGTTTGTCTTTGTTAGTCATCTGTTTTGCTACCTCAATATAATTGCTAGAGAGAAGTACAGACGTAGTGCCTAGGAACTCCAGGTATCACGGCAGGACCGTGCTTGAAGTAAACTGGTGTTTTACAAGTGAAGAAGATTGTAGGTCTAACAGGACTCACCTCTGCACCCAGATTTAGCCAGTGGGAAAATCTAATGTTGGGTATCTCAGCCATGAATATTCTTGGCATGATTTCTTCACAAAGGCAGGCTACTTTCACACAGATGCAGTTACATAGACTTCAGCCCCCCCCCTCCCGCCTCGACTACAGTAGGAAATAAGCCTTTTATCCCACATCATTGGCTTCCATGCACTTCACTTTTATCTCTACAGTTTTCCCTGACTCTCTGCCATCTTTTAAATCCTGCTTCTCCCAGGCTATTCCCTCTGTCCTTGCTGGCCTAAAGCTCAGCTCAAGTCTGACTTTCAGATCCATTCTGAGTATTGGTAGCCACATTAAAACCTTGACATAGCATTGAAGTAGCTGGCTCAATACCTCAGTGCTCCTTTGACCCAGAACTTGAAAGGGTTAACTCCTTTCCCTCTGAATCAGCGGGAATTTCATCAGGGGTTGCAGTAATAGCTCCATCACTCCCAAGTCCAGCAAACATTTGACCAGGAACAGGCTGTTTGATACGAGATGGACAGATTGCCTTCAATCAGCCTATTTTTGTAAGTGAGTCTAAAACCTCTTCAAACAGAGCTTTTGCTGCTGAAGTCGTGCTCGATGAATAAAAGTATTCATAGCCTACACAAGTTTTATGAAAGACAAAAAGCAGATAGTGCTGGTAGGCCCAAGCCCATGAGGAAAGCTGGCAATAGCTCTGCGGATTGAAACATGAGATCCTTTTATTCAACAATTCCTGTAATGTTTTTACATCTTCCTTGCAAAACTGGCCCTCGCTTCTTTGAAATTTTTCCTTTTCTTTTTTTTTTTTTTTTTTTTTTCCCCTTTTTGCCCCCTGGCTTTCAACTACATACAGAGATCACAGAAGTCAGAGGTAGAAAAGCACTAGAATTCATTTCTCCAGTTCACAGAATCCCTTTAGGCCTCCTTCCTCTTATATAATATTTTGATGTGCTTGGCTAAATTCACCTTCTACCAACATAAATTCACATACATTTGTTGATTCTACTGAAGCTTTGTGATAGAAATGGGCTTTGAGGCAGTCAGAGATAGACACCAGAGGTTTACACCAGTGTTCCTAAAAGCAGGATTTGTCCATTCTAAAGCAGAGAGGTTTCCTCTGCGAATTCCATTTCACGGTCTAACAGATCTCAGCATTAGCTGCCTGCCGTTCATTGTCAACCTAAATTTTCTTTTGCTTTGTTTCAGCCAATTACTCTTAGTTATAGCTATAGCCCTTGGATTATCTTAAAATACTTTTCACTCTTTAACGTTCCTATCACTTCTGGTGTGGTTATCACCTCACTGCACCACAAGCATGAGCAGCCTTTCACTCGCCATTTCCCCAAGGTGGCGAAAAGGACAATGTGATGCTATAAAAGGAAGAGAACATGGTCAAATAATCCCTTTTAATTTTCATTTCCAGGAAATGTAATTACAGTTCTTGTAATGTCTATGTTGGTCTGCTCTACAGACTTTGCTGAAAGTGACTTCATGTTCTGGATCTCTACTTGAGACTTTGAAAAAAACAAAGTGTGAAGGGAGGATTAGGAAAGGGGAGGTCAATCTTCCCTCTGAATTTAGTGTGAGGTACACAGGAACGTAGCCTGAGTGTGAGGATTGAAGGAGTGCTGTTGAGAGCCGGCCTGGGAGAAATTTTTCCATCATACCAGGGCTCTATGCTGTGGACTGGATGGTGGTGGGATAAAGGAGGAATAATTCAGTGACAGGACAGCTTGTCAGCATGTGCAAACATCTGTCCACCTTCTCAGACACTGTGTTATTAGTATTTTATACATATCTGCACCTCCTTCCATAAAAATACCCATTTTGCTCCTGATCTCCCAGCGTAATAACATGCAAAGGAAGCACAGTTGCTGCTCAGTCTCTCTGAAAATCAATATTAGGAGCACATAAACACAAGAGAAGACCCCAAGCCCCTTAACAAACAAACACTCTTCACAAAACAAAAATTGGCTCTCGAAACATGGCTGTTGCCCACTGCTGGGTAAGCACTTTTCCTTTCTTATTTCAGCTGCATTGTGTGTTGAGCAGCTGTGACATCCAGTGGCCAAACACAATACAGTTGTGTTTGGTACAGAACTCTTCATACATGGTAACAATAACAGAGCCCTTCCATTGCACTTTTCATCTTCAAAGAGCTGTACAAACAGTAATTCATTAACCCCTACACAGCTCAGTGGGGCAGATCAATGTAGTGACACTAAAAGTACACGTGAGGAGGGGAAACCACTCTCCAAGCTTTCCACAAGCATGGCAAGCAGCTCTCTAGAGTGATGAAGACCCTGCCCTAGGGCCACAGTACAGGACCTTCACCCACCACTGCACAGAGTAGCTGCTGGCAAATAAGGGATCA